CCCCCGCCCCGCCGCCGCGCGCCGGAGGAAAGGAAGTCGGGAGAAGAGGCGGGGCCGCCGCGGGGCCGGAAGGCGACAGCGGCCAGGCGGCCACGCGCTCTGGAGAGGGGTCCCCGGCGGGCGCGCACCAGTCGCCTCTGCTTCCTCGTCCCGGGCACACAACTCGCTGAGCCCGCGATCTGGCCGGCGACCTTCAGGGCCAGCGCCCAAAAGACCCCTCCCGGGGGCTGGCTGCCTCCTTTTGTTGAGGGGGATGGTTTGGGATTTGACCCTGACCGGGCGCCGGCTCCTGGATACCCTTGAAGCCGCCCCCGAGGCCCCTGGGCTGGGGCCGGCGGAAGCGCCCGGCCGCGGAGGTGGCCCCGCGGACCTGCGCCCCGGGCTCCCCAAGCCTCTGCCCGCGTTCGTCGTCGCGAGCCTGGGCCCCACGGGGGACTGCTCGCGGCTGCTCCCGGGGCTCTGACTTGATAGTCTTTGCGTTTTTCAGATCTCTGAATCTGAGGGTTGGGTAGTTTTCGTTGGTGGTGGTGAGTTTGTTTTTACCACCATTCACCACCACCACCACCCCCCCGCGCCCCGGATCTACCATCCACTTAAAGCTCTCGCTGTAAATCTACTATTTGTAAATAAAAGACCAACCGAAAGAGTCTAGTGCCATGAAACTGAAAAGGGTAGGAAGTAAGGAGACCTGGTTTTGGTCTCTGGACTGGGCCTGCGGGGTCACAGTGTCGTGGGGAATGTGGACGCGTGGAGCGTCACAGTTTGCTGCAGGAGGGGTAGGGCGGGACGCCATGCCTCGAGGCACAAATGTCTCGAAGTTACATTTACATTTGCGCTTTGCATGGCCCGCCTAGTTTCCACTCAAACGGTGTGGAAGGGCCCGAGCTGTGCGCTGAAGCCTGCTACCCCTTGCCAATCCCACCGCGGACTACACATCTCTCGGGCTTTCCCCCATGCGTTGGCCGGGCCTAAAATTGCGCACCCTGTGTTACAATTGATTAAAAAAAAAAAAAAAAAGATCAGAGAAAGGGGGCACGGGTCAATAGGAAAGGCCATCAGGGAGATTTCTGAAGCCATAAGCCCCAAGGAAGTAAATCAGATTTTCTTGAACTTCATTATTCTATTCAAAAGTGTAGCCCCTCATCCTGGCGGAACAGGGGTTCCTGCGCAGAGAATGAATGACAAAAGAACCTGTTCTGTGTTACACACAGGGCTTGAGGATATCGTCAGCACCCCACAAATGATAGCTACTGTAAGAATCGTGAGTTCTGATCAGCATATCCCAGATCTGAGCCACTAATCCAAACAAAAGCTTGTTAACTATATTAATTTAGCCTAACGGGGGAAGAATGATGAGAGTAAACAGTTGCTTCTACCTAATTTCTCACTACCGCGGACACATCATTCTTCATCTCCACGGTCCAGCCTGTAGATTCAATAATTAAATTATATATGGCGTTTCGTGGATGCCGGGAAAGCAAAGAGAAAAATACTTCATCATTAACTCTAGGTGTTTTTTTTTTTTTTTGGCTTTGATAAGAGTCAGGTTTCAAAGAGCTACATAGATTAAGATGATGATTTTTAATGTCAAGTTAACTTTACGTGGCTGGCTGGTTGCCACTAAAATGTATTATATACTGAGTCCTTGGTTCCCTTCCCCCTCCCAAATCCACTGCTTGGTCTTTGTCACACTCATCTATAGTCTTTGAGTCTTCATAGATCCATTTCTCTTCTTACCAATCTCCAGCCAATACATCACCAATTGCTGCTGGTCCCTCAACCACAACATCATTAAGCTTTCTTCCTTCCTCTGCTCTGTAAAGACTGTCATACATAATTTAGTTACTTCTCATCATTCTCCATTTTGGTCAGCTCACACACTCTCCTCTGCAATAAATTCAGGATCCTGCTTGCTGCAAACACATTACCCTGAATGTTCCTGCGTTTCACTCTAAGTCTCTCATCTTACAAGATGACATCATTTATAATACAGGAAACCCTCCTGATTCATAGTCTCAGAACTTGAGGTTTCAATTATTCGGCACCCACAGCCAACCCAGGCAGCCAAGGAGGAAGAAAAATGCATTCCTTGGTTTATCTTGCTCATTAACACCTTGTAACTCCAAGTGTGAGTGTGTTAAATGTCTCTTGCTAATACCTTGTATTTTGGTTTATAATTGACGCTCTTTCTCCACCTACCACAGATGCAGTGGCTTACTAGGTTTTCAGCCAAATCAAGAGCAAGGAGAGGGGGCTTCACCTAAGGGTGAACACAGTCAGACGTTTGTAAGGACCATTGTCCCAGGCTGGGCCTGGCTTCTCTATTTATGAGACTGTGGGTTATCTCTGCCTGATCTGTAGCATAACCTGGAATATATTTCAGGACCTCGAAGGTGGGGGATCCCAATAAAAAAATCAACATCAAGGTGAGATTCTTTGGGGGCTCCCTCAAATGGGGCTTTGATGGCATTCATGGATGGCTGCTCTCCCAAGAGACCACTTACCACTTCCCCCACCACCTCTTGCCCAGAAAAGGATGTGACTTGCAGGCCGGAGACAGGCAGGGAATCTGGAAAGCAACCGGTGTGTGCATCAGGGGTTGGCATGGGAGAAGGGCACACTTGGACTCGAACCAGAGTTTGAATTCTAGTGCCATTTCTTACTACCCAAAGGACCTTCAGAAGGGACTCACGTTCTTGGGGTGTTTGTCTCCTCAACTGCCAAATCAGTAACATTCAGTCATTTTTTGTTAATTCTCTATGTGCTCAGTGCTGCGAATACCAACATTGAACAAGATAAGCCAGCCCTTACCCTCACATGGCTTACCCCCCTCTCTCAAACAAATGCCAAATAAATGAACCTCATTGCTGGCTCAGTGAACACAATAAATGTTATGATAAAAATTTCGTGTTGGAATATGTTGGTTCTTAATCCAGTAGTCATCAGGGTCAAAAATTGCTTTTCATAGCTCCACAACCATACTTAGAAGGAAAGTACCACGGTTTCTATTTTTCAGAGGAATAATTGTTTATATTTCCATGAAGCAGTCCAAACTAGAGAGAACTGTTTAAACCTTAAGTACGGGGATGACTAGAATATTTGCTAACCAGAAAAGAAGTCAATGAAAATTCTAGGAAAGAAATTACATATGTGTTGTTGGATATATATATATATTTTTATATGTATGTTAGAACATGAGGTCAGTTGTTCACAATGGAAGACATACAGACCACAGATTGATATATCAGAATATTATTTTTTTCTTTTTTTAATTAACATAATGTATTATTTGTTTCAGGGGTACAGGTCTGTGATTCATCAGTCTTACACAATTCACAGCACTCACCATAGCACATACCCTCCCCAATGTCCATCACCCAGCCACCCCATCCCTCCCACCCCCCTCCACTCCAGCAACCCTCAGTTTGTTTCCTGAGATTAAGAGTCTCTTATGGTTTGTCTCCCTCTCTGGTTTCATCTTGTTTCATTTTTCCCTCCCTTCCCCTATGATCCTCTGTCTTGTTTCTCAAATTCCTCATATCAGTGAGATCATATGATACTTGTCTTTCTCTGATTGACTTATTTTGCTTAGCATAATACTCTCTAGTTCCATCCATGTCGTTGCAAATGGCAAGATTTCTTTTTGTTGATGACTGCATAATATTCCATTGTATATATATACCACATCTTCTTTATCCATTCATCTGTTGTCAGAATATTAATATCAAAAAAATTCAAGATTCTTGGGGCACCTGGGTGGCTCAGTTGGTTGAGCATCTGACTCTTGGTTTCGGCTCAGGTCATTATCTCGGGGGTCATGGGATCAAGCCCTGCATCGGGCTCCACGCTGAGCATGGAGTCTGTTTGAGATTCTTTCACACTCCCTCTCCCTCCCCTTCTACTCCTCCCCCTGCTCTCTTTCTCTCTCTCAAATAAATAAATAAAATCTTTTTAAAAAAATTTTAAAAATTCAGGATTCCTAAACAAGATTTTTGTTCTAAGTTGATGGCCCAATTATCTTTATTGCCACACATCTTCAAAATTATGATGAAGCTCAATGAGGAAATGTTAACTTAGCAGATGCACAGAGCCGGGTGCTTTGCTATTGTATGTCAGTAAATGTTAGTTGACCAAATTAAGGAACAGACAATAATTGCTTTATGCCAAAAATTTTGGAGCACCCAACACATAAAGAGAAGTCTTCATCAGTAAACTCTAGTTATACCTCTCTATCTGTTTCCTTTTTCTCCTTGCATTTAATGGACCTGGGAAGACATTTGATAAGTGACATCTTGGGGCTGGTGGATTAAGAAGCAAGGGCAAGCAGAATTGCTTTCAAGACATGTAGTATCTCAGTCTTAGGATTTTCGTCTTTGCCTGCAAATAACCATCTCTAGAACCAGAATGAATGGCAGCTGGGAAGGCTGTCTGCTTTTTTGTGGTTATGTCAGCTCTCCCCATGACTTGCTTCTCCTCTACAGAGCTGAACTTGTAGCCTCTTTCATACATAACTGGTTGAAGTTGATGGAAATTACATGTCTTATCACTTCTTAAAAGAAAAAAAATACATAAAATGTAAATCTAAAAGAAATGGGCAATTTTCTTGTACCACTTTATATTTCTGTGTAAGTTACCAAGTGCCAATCATTCTTACTTTTTAAAATTCAAA